GGTATTTCAACCTTGTACCAGCCTGTGATTCTCACACATCAATTCTTGGGTCAAAGAGAAAAATAACTAAAACATAGGGGCCTTATTGAATGACAAAGTTTTCCTGCATAATGTCACTATAAAACAATATCCAGTAAATGCTACCATGGTACTAAAATACCTAACAATACCTGTTTATCCTTTTACTGTTTATCTTGTATGCTCTGTACAGTGACCTTGGGTTTTAGAAAGGCGGCTACAAATAAAATGTATTATTATGATTATTATAAACAACAAAAGGATGTGAATACTACATGGATGTGATTCTCTAAGAGACTGAAATCAAACTCTGCACAGTATTTTTTTTTGTAAATGCTGCTTCAAAACATTTATTTTTTAGTCTTTTGCATTTTACATAGACATTCACCACAACAGACTTGATAAGAAGAAGATTTGAGACTTGTGCAGAGAACAGAGTACAATACTACTCAGAAGTAAGAAAAGATTTGGACCATTTATAACTGTGAGAACGTTCAGCTTAAAAAAGCACCACAGTATGAATATCTATTACCGGGCTGACATTAAAAGCAGAACACTGACACAAAATTACAAGACAGTGGATTGAAAACTGTGCAAAGTTGTACAAAATTCTCTTGAACCTGACTCCTTTTTTAAAACTATGCCAAATGCCTCCTAGTGTACATTCTTACCTATGTTTGTGTTTTGGTTTAATAATTCAAAGCATGGTGTGCAGTATAACAGTTTCTCTCCATCAGACAAATAAATAACTGAACCATTCAGACTGAGTGTTTTCGCTTTGGACATCAGTATACATTGACTACAACATGTTTAAGGCCATTGGTTTCTTGTGTAACACATGCAAACATAAACTGAAAAGAATAAAATCAGAATAAACTTGTTTTTTAAATACACAGAGTAACATATGTGATTGAGAAATAAAAGCTCACTTAAATTCAATTATTGACACAAGTGTAAACTGTGGGAATGCTATCCATCTGATGTGAGCGCTCTCACATATGCGACTTTCCCTAATCTAGGTCAAGCTGCAGACTGGCGACAGGGACCGCAGTAAATCTGCCGGGATTATGGAGGCCCTCGGGGGAGTGGTGCAGATCCCAATTTAACTTAACGACCAGTGACTGCAGTATTTGTGTGTGAAGACTCCCGTTTGATAGGTTTACACTGATATTAATATATCGACATCATCCCAGCTTGTCTCAACAATCGGTGTGCTTTGTTACATAATCTCATGCTGACAGTGGGAGAAGTGAAAGGGGCTGCTGACTAAAAGTTGGATGAGAAAAAGACTCAGAGTGCAAGATCAGTGACACGAAAGAAAGAAGTGGGTCATGGGATGAGATTTAGGAGATTTAACAGAACAACTGAAGTGTTCAACCAGCTAATTACTGATTATAGACCAATAGAAGTACATGCAAAATTTATGAGTGACACACAAAAATAACAGAGACAAGAATGGCTAAGCTAATGTGTAAAATAATAGTATAAATAGTAAAAATCGAAAAAAAAATACATAGAGTATTACTTATATTATAGGATTAAATACTTTGTCCTAAAGAAAAATACTTGGGGAAGTCTATATACTACCAAATAGCAAAAGCCAGTTCTGGGGAGAAGAATCTCAATCTGATAAAGGAAAAAACTGAACTCTGTGCTTTTCTTTGTTCAAATTACAACAAACAGGAAACAATGCATTAACTGAATTAAATGATATTCTACTTTGTTAGCAAAAAGAAGAGACATTGGTTTTGCAGCTCCACTGCTGTGGTAACATAAAAAAACAAAACAACTCCACTGTTTGTCACAAAGAAAGCACCATATATGTGGAATCTGACAAACTGGCAAGGTTGCAAGAAAAGAGCTGGTCTTAGGGCATGTAACACAATTTTGATGCTTAATGTTTGCAGGACAGTAATAAAGCTCTCTACTGTACATTTGAAAATTACAAGATATACAAATAGGCTTCACAATAAGACAGAAGGAGTGCATCCCCCAGACTGTGGTGTGCATACATTTGCAGAGCAACGAGTATAGCCTGTCACGTGCTAAAGGGAGTGAGATGCAGATAGTACACTAGTTATAGTACAGCATATGACTGGGCGACAACACACCGGGCAGTTTTAATGATTACGACTGGTCACACATTATCTCTTTCTGTTGCAATCCTCGGCTGCTGAGGCAGCGGGGCTGTCGATGTGGTGCGCTGAGGTGTCCAGCTGACTATCGGGCTGAACGGACTGCACTGTCTCTACCAGGCTGCCGCTGGGTAACACCACATAGCGTGCGGCCATGTCTTTGGGCTGCAGCTCCCGTATTCCCTCCTTGCTGTGCCAGATCCCGTAACCGAAATACACAAAAAGACCTGCGCGAGAGACAAGATGGAAAAAAGCTAGAGCAAGAATTTGACTCTACATAACAGCATACAGCTACAAAATGGCTCTTTTTTTGTCCTTGTGTTTGATGCAGAAGATGAAGGTGTACGTATGAGAGAAATTTATTATTTAATCTACTTGAGTGTAGCCAATCTACTAGATGTGACGTTACAATTTTCAAATGAACTGACATTGTAGTTACCGTCCATCTTAGATGGCCAGGCTTGCTTATAGGACTGCTGATGGCAAAATGGCATTTTAAGACAAATACTACAGTCAGCATGCTAATGTACGCTCAAATGCAAAGCCTGCAGGTTGTTACATTCAAAGTCGTCACATCAGTGACTGTATAAAAGATCTGAAAGTTTACTGTATAAAGGTTTACAATCATTTGGCCACATAAGTGATTGTTAGCAATGCTCTGTGCAGTTAACACCACACAGAGCTAAAGTTAATGCAACTATTATTAGTTTTGAGGGGTAGCTTTCACTTAGTTTTTAATGCACTTGCAACTTCTGATTGTGAAAAATGAGGCCAGTTCAGAAATGTCGAGAACTGCAGTTTCTCAAATGGCCACTTGAGGCTAGCTCTCCTTTGAGTAAAGTAAGCCAATCTCCTTAGAGACCTATTATCAACAGCCAAAAAGATTGTGTTTACAGCCTGTTACAGTCTCTGTAGCTAAATCTTTCTTTTAAACAACTGCACAGGGTTGAATTTTTGTATAACTTTGTATAACACGCAATGACACACAAATCAATTTACAAGTTTTGTGTAATGTGTTCTTTTTCTGGACAAAGCATAAAAATGAGATACTGTTTAAGTGATCAAACTTAGAAATTCTGCAGGGGTTCAAATAAGTATTTCCCCCCCAACTGTAAGTAAAGGGAGCGGATTGAAAAGTTGACTTCTGCCATTCTGCTTTTCCTCTGATGTAATAGTTACATCAGTGAACCAGTAATGATAAATAGCCTAATATTATGAATAGTACTTTAGCAAAAGAGTACTTTTGAGTTAAATTTAAAAAAAATAAAATAACACTCCATAATTACATTATGGGAGATAAGTATCCATTCCTGCCTCAAGGGAGTGAGAATTTAGCCAGAAGCCCTGTCAACAGTAATATCCCACATGTGTGTATTTTGTTAACTTGCAACAGTGTGACAGGGAAGTTTAAACAGTTTAGTGGCCCAGAGAAGCCTTAAGCTAATACAGCTAATTACGCTTCCCAAGTGATTCCCACTGACAGACGGGACATCAAAAAGCTGTTTGTCCAGCGCCTACATCTACAGAGGACTGATAATAAAAGGTTTTCTGCTTCCTAAGAGAACAGAAGATCTTTTATGACCAGCCTTTTATTGTAAAACTTGTGTAGGTTGCATTAAGTTCACCTGAAACAAAAGGCAGATGTTTTATGGTAGCGTATTCAAACTACTTCCTGAGATAACACAGACGGCCACCGTTTGTGCAGATAGAGAGTTGCATGAGCCGGCTGTGTAAAAGTAAATCTATTTGCCCAAAGTTTAAGTTGGGCAAAAATATATATTTTTGGAGGAATATACTGAAATCTTTTAGTGGCCCCAATATTTTCTGCATAAGTTCTGATGTCCTCTTACCTATGGCAATCCACACAGTGAATCGAATCCAGGTTAGAAAGCTGAGCTTCATCATGAGGAATACATTAAAGAGGATACTGGCACCTGGAGTCAATGGAACCAGAGGTACCTATATAAAAATAAACACTCTGTCAGTCTCTAAGCAGTACAGTTTTTCCTTCTTTTTAATATAGACTTGAGAATGTCTGTAAAAGCTCACCTGGAATGTTTTGTTGTTTCTTTGTGGCTCATGGACCCATATAATAGCAAGGCTGAGAATGTAGGCTAAGCTAAAAATCACCAGAAGCATTGTGAAGCTCCACAATGGCAGCTGGAGGTGTTTCATTCCAAATTCTAGCACAACACAGAGGGACACCGAGCTCACTATCAAAGTGAGCACACAGAAGGCCACCACTTCACCGGGCTCACAGTCCCCCAGCAGCCTGTCCAGGTACGGCTCCCAGCACGCCTTCAGCTGCCCCACGCCACGCCTCTCTTTTTGCTTCTGCCTTTCTACCAACTGGAGTTTGTCTGAGAAGGACTCGTACTGCTTTGGCTCCTCACTGTCCTCAGATATGGTCTGAGATTCCAAGGGGGCAGGAGAAGGCTCGTTGTTGGGGATGGGAGATGTAGAAGGCGTTCCCTTGGAGCTGGTTTTCTCAGGCTGGAAGCGCAGCACGATAACACTCGCTGCCACGAAGGTGTAAGCCAGGAGAGTCCCGATGGACAAGAACTGAACCAAGGCCTCCAGGTCAAAGATGAGAGCCATGGTGGCCATGAGGATTCCAAACACCAGAATAGCATTAACAGGAACCTTGGTGATGGGATTGACTCTTGCAAAAATGGAGAAGAACAATCCGTCCTCTGCCATGGCATACACAATCCGAGGGAGGGAGAAGAGATTACAGAGCAGCACAGTGTTCATGGCTAGAAAGTGGAACAAAGAGGACACAAGTCAAAATATGGCACTGATAAATCAATACACCTGGTAAACACAATGCACCAACAAGCATTTAAATCAAACTCACCACATATGGAACCGACTGCCACAACAATTCCAGCCCAACTATAACCACGGCGGAAAAAGGCATCTGCCAGAGCCGAGTTGGGGTCCAGTGTATGCCAGGGTACCATCAGCGTAAGCACTGTGGAGACCAGGATGTAGGCTGTTGCTGCCAATCCAAGGGAGATAGCAGTGGCGATAGGGACGGCCTTCTGTGGATTCTTTGCCTCCTCACTTGAGGAAGCAATTACATCAAAGCCCACAAATGCATAGAAACATGTAGCCGAACCTGCCAGTATTCCCGACATGCCGTAAGGTGCAAAGCCCCCTTGCTCCTGGCTCCAATTGGCTGGCTCAGCGAGCACAAAGCCAAAAACCAGGATGAAAACAATAACCCCCATACTAACGGTGGAGAAGATGTGGTTGAGGTAAGAGGACACTTGGACGCCAAAGGAAATGAAAAATGAGGCAACCACCAGAATTCCTGCCGCGAGCAGGTCAGGGTAATGCGCGAGGAAGGGAACGTTCCACTGCATAATGTGCGTCTCTGTGAAATTCTGGATGGCGTGGTTAAAAATTGAGTCTAGATAGCCGCTCCAGGCACGAGCCACCGCAGCCCCACCGATCATGTTCTCCAGAATCACATTCCAGCCAATGAGAAAGGCCCACAACTCCCCCACAGAGACATAAGTAAACATGTAGGCGGATCCCGTTTTGGGGATGCGCGCTCCGAACTCAGCGTAGCAAAAGGCAGCCAATAAGGAAGCTATACCTGCGAAGACGAAAGATATGATGACAGCGGGCCCGGCTGTGTCTTTGGCCACCGTTCCTGTCAGAACATACAAGCCGGAGCCCACCATTCCACCGACACCCATCAGCGTCAGGTCCAGGGTGGAGAGGCAGCGTTTGAGGGACGTGGCCATCATGTCATCTTCTAGTGTCTTGAGGCGGTTCAGTTTCTGACAAAGGCGCACCGCTGGCGCACAGCCTCTCGGACAGGTTGCCATAGCTAAAGGGTTAGGCAGGCCAGCTGGGCAGGATAGTGGTGCAGCAGTCACACTGGATCCATTACCTGCTTATGAAGAGAACCTGTAAAAAAGCAATTTGCATTTCGTGACTAAATATGTATTTTTCACAAATCAGCTGATGCATACTATATGTGCAATGCCACTTTGGACGCAAAGTTCTCTTTCAAGCTGTACCTTTAAAGAAATGATGTCCATGTCCTTGAAAAATATTATCTATAGAGATTTTTAAGGTCCTGCATTTACATTTGACAATATCTTCATTTATACAGCTTAAAATCATAACATATCTGAATATAGGTCCTGCTCCCAATCACAGAAGGGTCATAGAGATACTGGACAAAAAAAAAGTTACATACATCAAGTCAAACTTCAGTTTCTTACATTTTTATACACAACATTTTGTCACCCTATGCTCTACAATAAAAACAAAAAGCTTTAGATCTCATACCAGCTGATAACCAGGATCACCAGCCAGATGTTTGTAATATCTTTAAATCTTTGCCTTTTTATTTGCTTTCATGTTTTTCTCCTTTAAACCAAGAGTCTATAGTGAGTGGCACTACCCTCTTAACACGGTGGGCCAGTCCACGTCATCTAAAAGGTATCACTGATGTGTAAAATTACAACATCAAACACAGTTGGAAAAGAGAGCAAGAAAAAAAATTTACAGATTATTTTGATATATTTAGTCTTTGTTTCAGTACTTCCAGATATTTCTCCTATCGCTCTGGGCGGTGCAACATCCGACTCCTGGCCTCGATCGGCATATGGCGACAACAGGATGCCTCCATTATAATTACGTAACGCTTTATTCCCCTCTACAAATAAGACCGCTGTCTACTACAACCACAGCCGTTTACATTACACGTATAAAAGCGTGCTTATCCACCATCAAATAACAGAAATAAGATCAGGCGGATGATTGAATGTGCGTCCTTTTAAATGCCAAATTAATAATTTAGAACAAAATGGAAACGCAGGCAGAGAGAGGATCACACCAGTGCATCGCCCTGCCTCTCTCCTGGATGTGGACGAAATGCGGCGCTACATCACACTTTCCACAGATAGGTGTGAGTTTCTGATCCACGCTTCGTTTGTAATGATAAACGACCGCAATGCCATTTTAAAAAAAGTCAACGATTGCTTTACCGTCGCTGTTCAAGATGCGTCATCGGTGCTGCTGCGGGTCCTGAGCTGTGGCGAGTTACCGGCGTACATCGTCTGGTGATGGAGCAGAAGGTGCACAGTCGAATAAAATTAACATGCACTGCCCTGACTGACTGCTTCTTAAAGGCGCAGCTCCAGCTGAAAGGGGTTCCCCGCTGGGCTCCACCCATTTTTCAATCCACAGGGTCCCCGGGGGGTGGGGGTCCCTATGGTTACATGACAGATAAATTTACTATGTGCATGTATGTAGCCAGTAAAACACAACTGAAAAGACTGAAAATTAAAATAAAACTGTATGATTAAGCGTCTGATCCATGAGAATGGGGGAACTGGAAATAAAGGAAAAAACTGGGGGTATCGTCCCTATTCTGGTATCTTTTTTTCCTTTTGAGCTCCTCTCAAAATGTGTGTATCATTTTTTGTTTGTGTAGGCATTTTTTGTTGTTGTTGCCTGTATACAGTTTGTTACCATAGTCGCATACTGAGTGTGTAGTTAACATTAAAATGAAACCTTGATACAGCATCATAACATGATGGATGATAGTTGATGTTAGACCTTAGGACAAAAAACAAAACTTACAAAAAAATAACAATAAAAAAAACAACTTAAGGCAATCATTAATTCTGCTAGGCTGCACTTTTATTTATTCATGGATTACGTTATTCATGTATTCAGTTATAATAACCATGAATATATTTCTCCAATAATACAAAATAATTGAAACAAACAGAACAGCCACAAAAACACATGACAGTGTAGGAACTATTACAGTAATGCTCAAATAAAGTTGCTTAAAAAAAACAGAACAGTCAAACTGACAACACTTCAAAGCGTGTTTCTATTTACGCATTTTAAATAAATATCATAAAGAAACATCAAATAACTAATTTTCTTGACAGAAAGCAATACGTTGTTGCTCAGAGTTACTTCTCTGTCCGCATAAATCAGCAAAACTTCTCCTTTGACTTCAAGTGTTGAATTAATGCGTCTCGGGGGGCTCTCGTGTCCCCATGTCAGGGCTGGTAAACCCGTTTAAATGATTAATAACAAAACACCTTCTTAATTTCTTACAGGCTGTGATATTTAAGCTATGACAGCCTGCTACCGCTTCACTGTGTCTTGCAACGTCTCACTTCAATACTTCAAAAGCAGCTTTTTTCCACATGACACTGATGATTAGAGCACTCGGAGCATGCGTCTGAAATTGCCACTTCTTAGAAGACAGGAGTGTTGTATGTTCGCCGACCCCAGGGGCAGATCACGGTTACTGGATTGTGACCAATTTTTCTCAGTTTTGTTTGGCACAAATAGGTTGCTCTATCATCCTCCTCATAGAAGTCCAGATTGAGACTCCTTCTGTTGAAGCTTAAGGATCAATTCAAGTAGGTTCATCTGCATTGTCAGCTCCTGAAACACACAGAGTTTGAAGAGCAGCTAGTGTCAGCCTTCTGCTCTGTCACAAAGTACTGCTCCATCTGTATTTGAGGGCTCAGTATACATTTTAGTCATTAGCTAACTAACCTGAGGATTAGTAGTGACGTAAAACCCAGGGACTCCTGCTTTCTCGAGCGTGTTTTGCTGGTCTATCACTTTTTGATCCATTTCTGCTACGATCTTCTTATCCATCATTTTTTGTTCCTCTCGCACACGAACGTCCAGAGCCTGATACAACAACACAAAGTTGTAAACTAAAAGCATAGAGCAATACCATTCAGTAAGCAGAGATGTTAGAAGTTCAGTGCTTACCTCTAGCTCGGCTTGTTGGTTTGCCTTGAGCAGCACAAGGTTGTGAGACTTGCATGACTGCAGGGCATCTTTGTGTTTTCGTGCAAGGTCTTGTTTGAGTGCTGCACACAAAAGAGAACCAGTTAATCAACAGATTAAGGTTTCCTTTCCCAAGAAGCAACTGTAATACCTGCCGCACCGGTGAATTTCAGGGGAAGTTAGTGATGTTAATCAACAAATACCAGACAACAGGAATGGCGGGCGTTCCAGTTTAAATGGTGTTCCTGTGAACAGGTGACAACTCTTTGTATATTTCCCTCTCTATGTTCCTGAAGTCACTGTCTGCAGTTTTGTCATTGTGTAATAGCAGCATAAGTCATAAGATAAGATAAGATAACCTTTATTAGTCCCACGAGTGGAAAATTTGTTGGGTTAAGGCTGCCGACCTTTGCCAGCGCCATCTTACCCTTCCGACCATTCATACATTACAACATCACATGGGGAAGACAGGTCAGAGGTATAACAATGGAAAATGTACAACATGAGGAAAGACGTATGAGGCAAGGGTTGACATGAACAGTTCATGCCAAATCCACGTCATTATCTTCAGATGACGACCTGCTGATCCCTTAAAACAGACCTAAAATTGAGCTACATCACAAGTGCAGTCGACCTCATGGAAATAAATTATTCCAATTTGTATGAACTAGCCTACATATTTTCACCTGATAGATGCTTTGTGTTTTCATAAGTAACATAAGCCTCGCCTATGGCCATGGTTTGGTGCGTGTCATTCACTCAGTGTTGGACATCTGTAGCAAGAGTTCTTTACAAATTAGGGCTGCCACAAACGATTATTTTGATAGTCGACTAGTCACCGATTATTTTTGCGATTAGTCGACTAATCAGATCATGCATCTATTGGACGTAAAACCTACATCTTATTGCACCAGCATGCATCTGCTCTTATATAACTATCATTAGCTTACAGTTTTAAGTGTTTAAGATATGTGCTAACTAAAAATAAAGACAAGATGATAGTTTATTAAATTTTAATGACATTTGCAGATTGTTTCGGTGGAGTTTAATAAACTCAGCCGTCTGCTCCTTGCTATCTAAATTATAACAGGACACTGG